CTGGATATGCTTAGTCCACTACATTCTATCCCCACTCTGGACCCTTCCAGATGCCTCTGGCTGTACTCTTCTTCATGTCTACAATAAAAACATTTCTTTCAACCAGAAAAAAAAAATACATTGTTATTTAAAAAGCACAAACAAATCTCTCTCTGTCTCTTTTACACACAGACACACAGACATACATACATACAGAGAGAGACAGACAGACAGACAGACAGACAATTATAACACACACAAGACCTGACAGGTTCAAGCCAGGAAGTCCCACCCCTAACCAAGAAGCTATTTGCAATTGATACCCACTGGCAAAGGGAAAATAAATTTTCTCTAATGAAGTGTTACTGGGTATATCACCCACACTCCATGTTCCATGTTCTTGAGTAGTTGGCCAACACAAAATGAACTCCTTGAAACCCATTATTTTGTATGCTAGCCTAAAATTTAATTGAAAATTATTAGTGACATTTAGTACATTGATAATGTGATACAGCCAGCAAGTTTGTCTGCTTCTATGATATTCTTTCCACCCACCCCCCAGAAACTCTACACTTATTAAATTGTACCACCTTCCCATTGTCCCACCCCTATCATACCATGTAAGCACTGACTTTCTTCTATGGCTTTGCCTTTTCTGGGCATTTCGTGTAAGTGACACTACACAGCTGTCCTTTAACTTTCTTTCTCTGTGGTTTATAGTAATAATAATAATAATAATGAAGAAGAAGATGATGATGATAATTTATTTACAATGCATTCACTTTGTATTCCAGTTGTAGCCCCTTCCTCATCTCCTCCCGGTTCCACCCTCTCATTTCCTCCCTCTTCCTCCCATATCCTTCTTCCCTAGTCCATTAATAGGGGAAGTCCTCCTCCTGTCTGACCCTAGTCTATCAGGTCCCATCAGGACTGCCTGGATCTATGGGCTGTCTAGGTCGCCCCACCAGGGAGACATGCTCAAGAAGCAGGCAACTGAGTTCATGTTAGAGACTGTCTCTTCTCTTCTTAGTAGGAAACCTACCTACTGAGCTGTCTATGGGCTACATATGAGCAAGGGGTCTAGGTCCTCTTTATGTATTGTCTTTGGTTGCACAGTCTCTGTAGTCCCTCCTGAGCCCTGCCTTTTTTTCTTTCTTTCTCTCTCTCTCTCTCTTTTTTTTTTTTTTGGCTTTGTTGGTCTCCATATGTGGCTCCTGTCCCCTCCAGGTTCTTTTATTTCCCTCTTCTTCCACAAGACTCCCTGCACTCTGTCCAAAATTTGGCTGTGAATCTCTCTGCACGTGCTTTGATCTGCTGCTGGTTGGAGTCTTTTTGAGGACATCTGTGGTAGGATCCAGTCCTGTTCCTTCTTTTCTACCACTTCTGGTGTCTATCCTGTTTTTCCTTCTGAATGAGAACTAAGCATTTTCCCTAGGGTCCTCCTTATTGTTTATCTTCTTTCAGTCTGTAGATTTAGCATGTTTATTTTATATTATATGGCTAATATCCACTTATAAGTGAGTATATTCAGAAATACATCAATGTAATCCACCATATAAACAAACTGAAGGAGAAAAACTACATGATCATCTCCTTAGATGCCAAAAAAAAAAAAAAAAAAAAAAAGCATTTGACAAAATCCAGTACCCATTCATGTTTAAAGTCTTGGAGAGATCAGGGATACAAGGCACATACCTAAACATAGTAAATGTTTACTATGTTTACAATATACAGCAACTCTATAGCCAACATGAAACTAAATGGAGAGAAATTTAAATCAATCCCACTGAAATCAGGGACAACGCAAAGCTGCCCACTCTCTCGTAGCTCTTCAACATAGTACTTGAAGTCCTAGCTAGAGCAATAAGACAACTAAAGGAGATCAAGGGGATACAAATTGGAAAGGAAGAGGTCAAAGTATCACTATTCACAGATGATATGATAGTATACCTGAGTGACCCCAGATATTCAACCAGAGAACTCCTTCAGCTGATAAATACCTTCAGCAAAGTGGGCTGGATACAAAATTAACTAACAAATAAAAAAATAAAAAAATAAAATCAGTAGCCCTCCTGTATAGCAAAGACTGAGAAAGAAATTAGGGAAACTACACCCTTCACAATAGCCAGAAATAACATAAAGTACCTTGCTGTAACTCTAATCAAGCAAGTGAAAGACCTCTTTGAAAAAAACTTCATGTCTCTGAATAAAGAAATTGGAGACGATATCAGAAAATGGAAAGATCTCCCATGCTTTCAAAGTGGTTTTACAAGTTTCCATTCCCACCAGCAATGGAGGAAGGTTTTCCTTTCTCCATATCCTCTTCAGCATGTGTTGTCACTTGAGTTTTTGATCTTAGCCATTCTGATGGGTGTAAGGTAAAATCTCAGGGTTATTTGGATTTGCATTTCCCTGATGACTAAGGAGGTTGAGCATTTCTTTAAGCGTTTCTCTGCCATTTGATATTCCTCTATTGAGAAGTCTCTGTTTAGCTCTGTACCCCATTTTTTAATTGGATTACTTGATTTGTTGCCGTTAAACTTTTTTAGTTCTTTGTATATTCTGGATATTAACCCTCTGTCAGATATAGGGTTGGTGAAGATCCTTTCTCAACTGTAGGCTGTCATTTTGTTCTGATGATAGTGTCCTTTGCTTTACAGAAGCTTTTCAGTTTCATGAGGTCCCATTTATTGATTGTTGTTCTTAGAGCCTGTGCTGTTGGTGTTCTATTCAGGAAGTTGCCTCCTATGCCAACGAGCTCTAGGCTCTTCCCCATTTTTTCTTCTAAGAAGTTTAGCCTGTCTGGTTTTATGTTGAGGTCTTTGATCCACTTAGACTTTAGTTTTGTGCAGGGTGATAAGTATGGATCTATTAACATTTTTCTACCTGTAGATATCCAGTTAGGTCAGCACCATTTGTTGAACATGCTATCTTTTTTTCCATTGTATGGTTTTGGCATCTTTGTCAAAAATCAGGTGTCCATAAGTGTGTGGGTTTATTTCAGGGTCTTCTATTTGATTCGATTGATCCACCAGTCTGTTTCTATGCCAGCACCATGCAGTTTTTAGTGCTGTTGATCTAGTGCTACCCCAAGAGCTAGCTCTAGCACTCCTAGGCTTATATCCAAAAGATGCTCAAGTATACAACTAGAACATTTGCTCAGCCATGTTCGTAACAGCTTTATTCATACTATCCAGAAGCTGGAAACAACCCAGATTTCCCTCAGTTGAGGAATGGATACAGAAATTGTGGTCCATTTACACAATATACTACTACTCAGCAATTAAAAAACAAGGAAATCATGAAATTTGCAGGCAAATGGTGGGGACTAGGAAAAATTCTCCTGAGTGGGCTATCCCAGAAGCAGAAAGATACACATGGTATATACTGACTTATATGTGGATATTAGACATAATGTAGGATAAACATACTAAAATCTGTACACCTAAAGTAGCTAACCAAGAAGGAGGACTCTGGGCAAGATGTTCAATCTTCATTCAGAAAGGCAAATGGGATAGACATTGGAAGAAGGTGAAAATAAGGAACAAGACTGGACCTTATCACAGAGGGCTTCTGAAAGACTCTACCCAACAAGGTTTTAAAGCAGATGCTGAGACTCATAGCCAAACTTAGGGCAGATTGCAAGGAATCTTATGAAAGAAAGGGGAGATAGAAAGACCTGGAAGTGTCTGCAGCTCCATAAGGAGAACAACAGAACCAAAAAAATCTAGGCCTAGGGGTCTTTTCTGAGACTGATACTCCAACCAATGGCCATTCATGGAGATAACCTGGACTCCCTGCACAGAGGTAGCCTGTGGAAGCTCAGTCTCCAAAGCGGCTCCCTAATAAGAGGAGCAGGGGCTGTCTCTGACATGAACTCTGTGGTGGGCTCTTTGATCACCTTCCCCTGAGGGGGAGCATTCTGTCCAGGCTACCGGGGAAGACTACGAAAGACAGTCCTGATAAGACCTGATAGGCTAGGGTCAGATGGAAGGGGAGGAGGTCCTCCACTATCAGTGGACTGGGGAAGGAGCATGGGAGGAGAGGAGAGAGGGAGGGTGGATTGGGAGGGGATAAGGGTGGGGCTACAGCTGGGATACAAAGTGTATAAATTGTAATAAATAAAAAATCATATTAAAAAAGAAAAAAAATAATGTGATATACTAATAAATTGTTTATTAAAAAAAGCAAATAAATAAATAAATAAAAACATCTCCCATGCTCATGGATCAGTAGGATTAACATAGTGAAAATGGCCATCCTGCCAAAAGCAATCTTCAGATTCAATGCAATGCCCATCAAAATACCAACACAGTTCTTTACAGAAAGAACTTTGTGTTCTTTTTTAAAAAACTTAAATCTAGCAAGTAAAATTTGAGTTGTCTGTACACACTCTTGGGTGTGTGGCCCTCCACTGGATCATGGCCAGCTTGTGGGGTTGTCATCAATTGCCACGAGCTCACTGTTGGGACTTCATGCTTACTTGTCCTTTCCTGTCTGGGATTTGGTTTTGAGACTTGGCATTTTCCTGTTGAATGACATGCAGCAGGGTCTTTTGAACAGGAAAGCAACTGTGGCCTGGATATGTAGGTCAGGGGAGTGACTTGCCTAGCACCGATAAAGCTATTCCCAGAACCACATAAACTAGGTGTGGTGGTGCATGCCAGCAGTCCCGGGACTCGTGGTGTGGAGGCAGTGGGATCAGAAGTTCAAGGTCATCTTCTGTTGCAGAGCAAGTGCAAGGCCAGCCCGGGTCGCACATATCCGTTAAAATGTGAGGTAATTATGGTACAAACCGGTGCATGCGTGCTTGTGTCCATTCAAGGCAGTCTCTAGCCTCGCGTTCTTTTCTTCAGGGCTGTGTGTGCTGAAAGCGAGCCAGGCACAAAGTGGTGAGTACGCCTCCCGAATGCCCCACACCTCCTCAGGGGTTAGCTAGCGAGAGGTTGGAGGGCATGCCAGGACTCAGAAGAGACCTGTTTTCACTGAGGCTAACCTAGCGTCTGTGATTCCCTTCCAAGACCCATTCCCCAAGCCTTCACTCCGGGCTCAGCCCAGTTCCTTGGTGCCCCTGGGGCAGTCAGTCACTCTGCGGTGCCACGGGCCTCCAAATGTGGATTTATATCGCCTGGAGAATCTGGAATCTGGGAACTATAAAGATGAAAATATTCTGTCTATCCCAACCATGAAAGCAGATAATGCTGGACGCTACCGCTGTTCCTATCAGAACGGGAGTCTCTGGTCTCCCCCAAGCGACCAGCTTGAGTTAGTCGCCACAGGTAAGGAGGGGAGAAATGGAGTGGGGTTGGTCTTTGGTTTCAGAGCTGCCTGACCTTCAGCCGTGGACTTGAAGACTGTGAAAGTGGGTTATGTGAGTGATACACAGTAAACCCCTAAATCCTCCAGTGCTGGAGTCAGAGTGAGACAATTGAGTCATTGGTCTTGCTTACTGAGTTTAAGGGTGCTGTCTTCAGGACAGTCATTAATCAAGACAAATATCATTTAAATGCAATACAAAAAATTAAAAGATTATTCCTGGAGAATTTCATAGCTGCAAACAATAAAATATAATCATACCCATTGTCTGTTTCCCACCTCCAACTTCCCTGCCATCCCTCTTAACATATCCCTACTCAACCTCATGATCATTTTTCAAAACAAAACAAAGCCCCACCTGTCTTTAACACAGTTTTCTTTCTTCCTAAGGTGTTTACACTAGGCCCTCACTTTCGGCTCACCCCAGTTCAGCAGTCCTTCCAGGCAGGCACGTGACCCTGCAGTGTCGAACCCAGTATAGTTTTGATGGATTTGTTCTATACAAAGAGGGGGATACTGGGCCTTATAAGAGACCAGAGAAATGGTACCGGGCTGATTTCCCCATCACCACAGTGACTGCTGCTCACAGTGGGACTTACCGGTGTTACAGCTATTCCAGCGCGTCTCCATACCTGTGGTCAGCCCCCAGTGAGCCGCTAGTGCTCGTGGTTACAGGTGAGTGAGTCCAGATCCAAGAGTCTTTCATTGACATTTGTAAATCCCTGTGGAACTTCCAAGGCAGCCAGAGGTGCGGACGAGGTAGAGCCTCTGGCTCCATTCAGTTTTGGAGGTGTATGAGTGTCCTACAACTACTGTGACAGATCACCACAGATTATTGCTGGCTCACAATGACACAAATTTACTACCTTAATGTTGTGAAGGTCTCAAGTCTATAAAAGACACGTTTATAAGATAAATCCGTCAATTATTGTAGTTCCAGTCACAACAGCTAAAAGTATAAAACCGACCTAAGGAATGTATAAAGAAAGCAAAAATTTTCGGCTTCTAAAATGATTACGTACTAATAAACATGAAAAAGGGTTGCACATCAGGAGCACCAGAAAAAATGCAGATTAAAAAGACTTTTGAGAATCCAGCTTAACCCAGACAGAATGGTGGTTATCAAGAAAACTAATAAATGCTGGTGACAATGTGGACAAAAGTGAACCATTATTCATGGCCACTGGGAATATAAAACAGTACAAACACTATGAAAATCAATATAGTTTTCATTCAGAAAACTGAAAATGTGTAACTCCGATCCATGTGTATATATGAGATACTTACACACCTCCATTTATTGTAACACTGTTCACAACAGTTAAATTATGGGACCAACATACATGTTTATCAACAGAGGCATGGAGAAGGAAAACTAAATATAGTTCTTAAACAGAGGGAACTATTTTTGCAATAAAGATGAATACAATTATGTTATATAGGAAAATGGATCCAATTGGTGGTAAATACATTACATAAATTAAGTCACAGATACCATGTTTTCTCTCATTTGTGTGTCATAGATTTTATATAGATATATAAAATCATATATTTACACATAACAGGAAAGCTAAAACAAATCTAGGGCAGTGATTCTCAATCTGTGTGTTGTGACCCCTTTGAGGATTGAATAACCCTTTCGTAGGAGTCACTTATGGCCATTAGAAAATATATTTACATTTCAATTCATAACAGTAGCAAAATTACAGTCATAAAGTAACAATGAAAATAATTCTATGGTTGGGGGTGACCACAACCTGAAAAATTATATTAAAGGGTTGCAACACTAGGAAGGTTGAGAACCACTGATTTAAGGGAAGCAAGAGGACTGATGGGAGGGATGAGAAAGGGCAGGGAGAACCCATTCAAAGTACTTTATATATATATATGTATGTATATACATATGTATACATATACATGCATTTTCATATATATGTACACAAAATGATCTAATATAACTCAATATAATAAAATAAACAATTAAGGACAATAAAAAGTTACAAAGATCTGTGGTATAAAAAAATTTAAATAAAACAAAGCATGCAATTGAGATTCTAGCAGCAAAATCTCTTTTGTTACTATGTTTTCCTGGAAAACTTTGGGTCTATCAGCTTTTAGTTGACCTGGACCAGCAAGTCATTTTTCAGTGACAAAGTCCTGAGAGAAAGGACCAGGGGATTGGAAGAAAAACATGATAGAAGATAGAGAAGATAAGAAAGTTTGGGATTGGGAGGTTTTGCACATGCTAGGATTTCTGTCAAGCAAGGTTATTAAGAGGTATTAAGGTTATTAAGATACTTAATAGTATCTTCTATACTATTGAGGGAGACAAAGGAAATGAAGTCAGCAGGCAGCTAATCAGGCAATGTTGCAGAAGAGGAACATACTATCTCAAGACCATTACAGTGGGAGTACACAGCAGCCTCATGATTGACAACTCTAGTCTCTTCAGAGGGAAAATCCAAGTTTCTAGGAACTTCTTAAAGGCCCTGTCCCCCAGTCCTGAGCAAGAATGAAGAACTAGGTTCCTTTTGTCCTTTCATTAGAGCCTTGGATTCATCCAATTTTACATTTTGTCATTGTGTAAAGTTGCTTGAGAAACAGCTGAAAGGAGGAAGAATTTATTTTGGTTTATACTTTCAGAGGCCTCAGCTCATGGTAGTCTGCTTCTGTGTTCCTGGGCTCAGAGTAAGGCAGAGGAATTTCAGAAAGATGTGGTAGAATAAGGTCATTGAACTCACACAGCCAGGAAGGGACTAAGTCAAGAAATGCTCTTCAAAGACAGCCTCCATGACTGGCTTCATCCCATCATGCTGCACCCTCCACAAGTTGTCTCACTACTCTGTGGAGGTTTTCCCTCCCAGCTCCAAGCTCCTGGAATAACAACTCAAGAGAATCAAGGTATATTTACAAATACCTAGGCCAAACAGCTAGGCTCCTCTCTGACTAGCTCATAACTTAAAATAACCCATTTATATTAACCTACATTTTGCTATGCAACTACTTACTTCTTCTCAGGTACCATCTGTCCTCAAATCTTTCCTGGTGACCCTTCCTGTGGCTGGCACTATCCCAGAATCCTCTCTGCCTACCAGGCGTCCCACCTTCTATTTTACCTTCTCCTATAGGCATTAGTTTTTTTTTTTTTTTGACAGATGATTTATCCATACAGTACATGAGATATTCTTTCTACACACTAATAGCATATTCAGAATTTGAATTCATCAGTGGGTTAACCTATTGATCATGCCAGTTCCTTTTAGATGTAATAGTATCTGGAAATGCTCTCACAGACACATCTAGAAGTGTGTATTTCTAATTTCTTAGGCAGCTCTCAATCCAAACAAGTCAATAGTTAAGAGCTATCACACTTACCATAAAAATATAATAGTATAGGCACCTGGAAAGTAAAATCTGAAGGATTTTCTTCTTTAATCCTCTAAACCTCAACTAATTCTTAGATTTTATGCTTTAACAGTTTTATTGTCTATGACTCTATGGAAATAGCATAGCCTGAATAAAACAAGTAGTTCACTAAGAAAAATAAATATAAACATATCAAAGATTATGAGACATGAACAGGATGCCTGCTGTGTGATAGTATCTTCTTGACATGACAGGGAAGCGTCACCACTAAAGTCTCACTGAGGTTGCCTAAACATTTCAACCAGTCAGCAGTGAAAGCCTCTTCATACTTATTTGCACGTGAGAAAATCAAGTCACAAAAATGTTGCTTTATTTGCTTGAAGCCCTCTGTTAACAGACTTACAGAGTACTAACCTCTCGTTTTCTGATTTCTCAGAACCCTCTGCCACTCCCAGTCAGGTACCCACAGAGGTGCCATCTCTTGCAACAGGTGAGTTCAGTAGATTCTGGTGTCTGCGGAATGAAGCTCTACTACTATGACCTTCATAATGACAACTCCAATTGACATTGCCAACTTGGTGAAATCTCACAAGGCTCCCCCTCTAGCTGAGGAGCTATAGGCAATCAATGGATGCTGAGAGAGGGGGAATCATTCTCCCCCAGGGATGAGCTCCCTGATACATTATTCAGTCTCAGGTAGGAAGTCCTAAACACATGTGCATATGAGCAACACTAAATAGACTCAGTTGGTTATATGTTTCATACACATAACAGTAATGAAGATGTTATGAATTTGAAGTGGGGGAGGGGAACATAAGGTGAATTAAAGGGGGAAAAGTGTGGGTTAGAAATTATATAAATACTGTACCATATATAACATTCTCAAAGTAAAAAAAAGTTATGAACATATAGCAAGCAACAGTTATTTTGGGATCATGAATTGTTGGGTTGGTTATTTTGCTTTGATTTTATAGTACTTTATTTTTTCTATTTTTAAAATTTTGTTTTTTAAATTTAGGGTCTCATGTATATCAGGCTGGTTTGAATTTATTATATAGTGGAGAATAACCTTAAAATTCCGATTACTGGGAAAATAGGCTTGAGCCATTACGCCTGGTTTATGTGGTGGTAATGTAGCCCCGGGCTTTGTGCATCCCAAGTGAGTTATGTCTTCAGTCTACTTTCTGACTTTTCAGTTTTGATTTTTCTACATAATAGAAACAAGAGAACACTATTAAAGAACTAAAAGTCTGAAATGTTATGGGTAACAAATATGATTTAAAATAATGAATGAAATGTATCTCAGTGGTAGGGCACATACTCTGCCTACACAAGGCACCCAGGTTTAATTCCAAGAACAAAGAAAGAAAGAATGAATGAATAGAGGATATCATATGTTCTTCTCTAAAACCCAGAATACTCTATACTGTTTTAAATCTTTATCTCACCTCTCATTGCATAGTTCCTCTCATCTGTGATTCCTAACACATTTCTAAAACTTCTCCCATGGTTCCTGTCTCTACATCTAATTCCCCGGGACAAGTGCAAGTCAAGTGCCAGATGACAAGTGAGGGCATAGGTGACAAGAGTCTGGGGA